CCAACTCTCGCCACTGTGTGCGCGCGGCCGATTGTATTGTTGTGCCATGACAATCTGGATACGATCGTGAACGAGGGATTAGAAGGCAGCCCCGGTAAGTCCAGTCCTTCTTCTTATCACTGAGCTTCCGCTTTTGCGCGCTTCGTTCTCTCGCCTCGGCCTTCGTTTCTCGCGATCTCGTTTCATTTTGCGTGCAGGATTTGTCACCGGAAATGAGCGGATAGTTGAAGTTGGAAATTTTTTTTAGAGAAAGTATTGAGAGTAAAAATACGAGAATTCGACGAATAGAAGATGTAATGGTAGTTTTTGAACGTAAAAAATTGCGTGGAAAAGTAATAATTTTCATGCATCGTATGCCGATGAAATTTTTTGCGGGATAAAAGGTTATGTAAAGGATTATTCTCGTTGCTTACATTGTACGATGCGGTCATCGCATCGAGGAAAGTGCAAGATAGGAAGTCTTTTCAAATTCGAATGGCCTTTGAGATGATTTGCAAACTGTTACTCAATTTCGTGGACGAATCTGTTGACCTTTAAATGTCTTAAACGTTGGAGAACTGTCTAAAATGTCTAAAATGTTCTTTCGTCACAATATAAAATGATCGATGGTAAATAGTCGAGGGAAGGAAAATTAAATGTTTACCATGGATTATATAATATTTATAGTTGTGCAGAGTTGATCAGCAAAAAAAAAAAAAAAAAAAAAAGGAAATACAACGGTGAAAAGAAAACGGTTATTCGTTATTCGACATATTTTTGAAATATATTTTAAACGACCAAAGTTATTCAATAATAAAATATTACGAAACGTCGAACAATAATATTCCTTTAAAAATGATGAAACGAAACGGTAAAACATGCTGATGGGTTACATTTTACGGTGATAAGTAAATTTATGTTCGTCATTTTGCGTGCATTCTTCCAATTGCGGGGAAACGCGATATTCGATTCATTCCTATTTTTTCGATACGACTTTGCACGACACAATCACACGAAGGAATCATTATTAGTTTTTTTATTAGAATTTTAGTAGAAAATCTTTATTAGAAGAAACTTACTTTATTTAATAAAAATTTTCAATCGATGCTATTGAAACGTCATGTATGTTTATATATTTCACGTAATGCATATTTTTCCATTTTATAAAGTATTTCTAAAGTAGCTTAATAGGTTATGAAGGATATTTCCATGTCTTCTTCTTTATTAAATCCGACGTTTCACGCGATGGAACAGCAAACTATCAATATTTTATTTTAAACGGAATACAGGATTCAACCGATTTCTGTGACTCCTTTATTTTTTTCTTTTCTCTCTAGATTGTAGATAATGATCACGTGCAACATTACGTGACGTACAAAAAAACCTTCATTGAAGTTGTTAACTCATCGAGTCTAAGCTGGCGTTATTTTCTTCTCGCATAAATTTTTTAAATAAAAAAAAAAAAAGGGTAATACACGAAACACGCGAAACGTAAATTATTATAATTCAGCTATAATATCCAGCTATTTAAAAAAAAAAAACGCGACACCGTGTTTTGTAAGATTAAGTAAGATTTGCCAAACACAAATTACATAATCGTTGAAAAATTATCGAATTTCTCGGTAATAAACCAATTTACTCGAACGAATTTCGTTTAATCTGATTTATACATCGATTTGTCGCGATTGTTTTGACGCAAATATAATGATGTATCGTGAATATCACGATTACGTAAGTTGGTATTTTACGAAGAAAAAGAAGAAATATTGGTATAATAGAAATAACAAATTAAACAATTATTAGGTTTTATAGATATAAACAAAACGCGAGAAATATCTCTTTCTCTCTCGTTATTTAATTAAAACCGCGGTGAACACGAGCCTTTGGAAAATGTACCGATCTGGTGATCGTAAAAGGAATAAGGGGTTAACAGGTTAAAACAAATTACCGCGTTTGAACAGCTCGTGTCGCGATGTGAGAATCGACTTGGAATCCGTGATGAACATTTAACGAGGTCGACCGTAAATTCCCGTATTCGGCCTTATTATGATAACCGAACGCACAAAATTCTTTCTTCGTTTCTTCAAAAAGAAAAAAATCAGAGAAAGAGAACATCTCGCCCCGCCACTTCTTTCCACTCGATTTCTTCCCGCTCCTTCGACAATTTGCCGCTTCGCTATTTCCCAACAACCAATTCGAACGTTTTAAAATCCAACGCGGATCGAACCGCAACCGGCCATCATCGTTGCGTTGGACAATTTTTAGAAGGTCGAAGAACTGTTAGGCCAACAGTTTTCCCATACCATTCCCCGACGATTCGTTCGGATTCGATTCCGGGGGGGGGAGGGGGGTATTTTCTCGGTTCGAGGAGCGCGCACAATCGACGAAATCCGTCCGTCGACCCGAGAGAGATCTGTTTTGCCTGGTGAATGGGTATGATCCCATCCCAAGCTCGAGCTGGAGCAAGCATCCTCCAAGTGGATTGACCTCCGCCGTCACCACTCGTGATAGGAATAAATTCGAGGCTATTCGTACTATGTATTCCACGAGAGAGCCACGTATTCGAGGATCGTTCTTTTCAATTTTGGATACTATTCCGTCGCGGTCGAACTGGAATACGTTGGAATGGCGTGTGACCGGCTTAACTTATAACGTAGCCGTCCTTCTTCTTCTTCCTTTCTTTCCCCTTCGCGCTTCGACACACGTCGCTGTAACAGTTCTTCGCCGACCTCTTCTTCTTCTTCTTCACGAGTTACGCGTTCATCTCGTGTGAACCGACAAATTTTTTTTTAGTTCCAGCTCCTGGGGCGATTGTCGATTTAAATTTGATACTTTCGAGAATGAGAAGGGGGATTGAATTCTCGAAGGATGTTTTGCGTCTCGATGCATACTTCTGGAAAAGTACCCGTATGTAAATTCAAGTTATAAATAATCTCTGGATGAAAAACAAACTGATCTGAAAAAAATAAGGAATAAATGGAATAAAACTACGAATATACTGTGGATCGAGGAAATTCAATGGTAATTAATGAATAATAAGTTTGAGTGGACGAAGGAAAAAAAAAAAATCTCTCTTCTAAGAGAAAATTGAATCGTAATTGTGTATATCTGGAAAAAAAATGTATTCGTCAGATTTGCACGAAGAAATTGGAAAGATAAACGATTTTCGAGCTGGCAGAACCGATCCGCTTGAACGGGGAAAATTATGCACGGCAGATATTCTTTGCCTATTTATTGGATCGGAACGCTTTACCGCTCGAACTTAGTCGAGCGAAAGGAAAGGTTTCTTTCATTCGGCGCAGATTTAAAATCTGATTTTTCCTCTTGAGATCAAAATTGTTATCGTTTAAGAAATGCGTAAATTATTACATCTGTTGCTTTTGAAGAAGAAGCAGAAAAATAGGAAAAACTATTATTTTGTTTCTTCTTTATCGTTTCGTTACTTGTTCAAGCACAATTCGTTTAATTAATTTTCCCAATGAACCGTAAAAATATAATTGCCCGAATAATTCGAACGATTCCTACTTGATTCCTATTTGGAAGCAATTTCGAATAATTTTTTTCAATATCGTTCAAAAAAAAAGAAATAATTACAGTTATACGCGAAACTCGCGCGTTAGAAAGGATAAACGTGCCAACAATTGATTCTTCCTGCGGCTCGGATTACCGTTTCTCGAGGAAAGACGGATATGGTAATAAGGTTAATCGGTATTATACGATCTTTTTAACTTCTAACAGAGGACGATAGAATTCAAGATGAGTAACCACCGCCACCAGTTGCATCATTCTTATTTTTCCACCGATTCGCGACCGCAGAAACGGGAGAGATACGAGGAAATACGATTTTAGTCAAAAATTGCAGAGGATAGATTTACGAAACTTTAGACATCTGCGGCGGTATGAGATAAGGACGGGGCGAAGAAAGAAAAACGTTTCCAGACGCCAGAGAGAGAGAGAGAGAGAGAGAGAGAGAGAGAAGTCGTTCTTTCGCGCATAACGCGAAGGATCAACTTACACGACGAAGACGAGGCAGGACGAGGAGGGGCGTGCTACAATTTTTCTCATAAAGTTGTCACGGATCGGGCAAGGATGGGTGGGGAGGGGAGAAGGGAAGGAGAACGGCAGATGGACGCGCGCGATATAATCGACTTCACACGGAAATGTGCGAGAAAAGTTTAAAAAGCTTGCCCGTTAGCCCGTTAACTCGATACGATTTGACGTGGAGGAACAATGAGAACGCGAGACAATCGTGAAAGCAATCGCGGTAAAATTCTCTCTGATTGTTTTTCGTAGAAAGTAAACACACAGTGGGAAGAGGATTCGAACGTTGGCGAGAGTACGCTACACTGCGCGCCGCCGCGCTCTTTCTCCTCTTCTCTCCGAGGAGAGGCCGTGGAGCGCGAAAGGGACGTGAAAATTCGAATTAAGCGTAATTACACGTTCCATCCACGTGGCCGAAAGGAGAAAGAGGTCGAACGCGTTTTCGCCTGGAAACGCGAATGTTTCGACGACCACCGTTTCGAAAATCGTCCCAAATGGCGATGCTTTCCGGTGGCCCCCGCTTCGATTTCTTCCGTTTCACCGTTTCTTTCTTTCTTTCTCTTTCACTTTCTGGAAGTGAACGGGAAACAAGTCGATATACTTTTCTCGCGCGATGAATTTCTTTCTCCCTCTTTTTCGTTCTCTCTTTCGATATCAAAATTTGGTTTCGCGAATATCATGGATCGATCCATGGTGGGTTTAAAATATGATCGGATTCGTTCGGTGCATGAGAATAAAATTGCAATAAACGAATATCGTTTAAAGGTCGACGAAACAGGTTTTGTAGAGTCACGAGGATTGGATATATGCGAGTACGCGAAAAAAAAAAATGACTGTCTGTCTGGCCACTTTCAGAAGCTGGTCACGTGGAACATTTGACCCCGAAACACTATTATCATTCGTCGGATCAGAAACAGTTTTAAAAACAGAAAAGTCTCATCTCGAGTTTTAAAATAATTGTTAAAATTGATATTCTTTTTTTTTTCTTACATTTCAATTCATCCGTTAAATTGAAAAAAAAAAATAAGAACGTAATTTTAAAAATTAGCGTGATATTCGTTTATACATCGTTTTTTTTCTTTTTTTTTTTTTTTTTTTATCGTTTTGACCGTATTCAATTACTCGAATAAATCGATTATTAACTTTTTTTTAACACTTAACATTTGATCTTTGATTCGAATAATTTATTGCGTTTAAGGAGATGACATTTCTAGGAAGAAATGCTCACCTTTGAAAGAAATTCCGCGAGCAAAAAGTCACAGTGGAGCGTACTTCTTAATACTCGCTCTTCGGATATATCCTATATCTATCGTTTCTTCGTTTTCCACGACGCATCGATACGCATCGCGTAAAATCGCGTTGAATGGAATATTTTAACCGAAGATGGTGAGATATATTTCGTGCATTCGAAAGATTCAGCATCTGGAATTTCTGGAGGAAGGAGCGACGACATAATTGCGTAACGTGAAACCTAGTAACCTTTTGTGATTCGATGCACGGTTGTGTTGGGAACGGATAATATAGTGTACGTACTGTACGGTAATAGCAAAGTGTTCTGTCAAAGTCGCTTGTACAACCGCTGTACAAACCGGAGAGAACGGCGACATGTAATGAAAATCACGTCTTCTCTTTGTGAAAAAAAGAAAAAAAGAAAAAAAAGTTTTTCGAACGATGATGGACTGGGATTCGTTTCTCAGTCACGTGAATAAATTCATCGAGATCTTTTCGAACGAACGTGTCGTTCGAACTACGAATCAAAATTGTGTTTTTCAACACGATATTTGAGCATGTTAGTTACTGTACCGCGTACAGAGAAGAATTAGCAACGTGAAGACACGTTCTTTCGTAAAATATTCATGTGCATATATTCTTGCATCTTGATTATTTTTTTTTTTTTTTTTACTCTCCTTTTACCGCATAAATACACAAGATGTTTACATAGATTACGAACACGCGATATGAACATAAGGAATGGCCAAAATCTTTTTTCTTTCCGCGAGAATGGATTTTAATAGCTTAGGAATAAAAGTTTTGCTTTTGACGATGGCATTAAACCTTGACACATGGAAAAATAGTCTAGAGACGTGGAAATATGAGAAAGTTTTATTCGTGAGTTTGGATTAAACACGCGATACGTGTGCGAAGGAATAGGAATTATATCTGGTATTGCAATACCGCTAATCTGAACCTTCACTCTTTGAAAGTTGCGAAGGTTGACTTGTTCCCACTTTTGTTTCGATTGTCCTCGCGTTTCCATTGCATGGGATATTCGTCTCGTCGCCTAATACGAATAAAAAGAAAAAAAAGTAATTGAACTGTTATCGCGATTGCAAATACTCGAAAATCGAGTACATCGGCTCGATTACTATTACGGTAGAGAGCTCTGTTTCGATCGTTTCGAACGATTAAATAATTACGATCTTATCGTCGCGTTTTCTTTTCTTTTCTTCATTTCGTCCATGGAATCGTTGCATCCGTTGATCTTTCGCTCGCCGACATCCGTTTCCTCGTTAAAGTCCTGTTTTGAATTCCGCGTAAACTTTCGAGAGCGACCGTTAGTCAATCAGAAAATCTTAATAAATGGTATCTCGTTTTTATTTAATCTTGAAGTAACGTTACTTACGGCGAATAAACATCCTCGGAGTTGACGAAAAATGCAAATACGAGAAACTTTCTCTTCAAAACAGTAAATTTGAAAATGATCGTTTACGATCGGATAAATTGCCTAATTGTTGCTAAATCGTTGTTATTAAACAACCTCGTCAATTAAAATTTTAAAAACGGATTTAAATAGAAGAAACTAAAAATTACGATTGCAAATAATAAGTTAGTAATAAATAAAGTGTACATCTATTAAAATTTTAATAGCTTCTTTGAGAAGAGAATTCATCGATTCGTCAACCATCGCGGTATAAAAAAAAAAATGGTAAAAATGGTAAAAACTCAAAGTTACATTATCCAGAACGGGATTGATCAGATGATTTCGATCGAGAAAATCAGTCACAGATGTCGTTAAAATGAACGCGTAAAATTTATTTATTTATTTATCAATTTTTTCACCGATAATTTTATCCAAAATTATTCTATTCCCTGCTCGTTCTTGTTGTTGAATTTCACACAAGTTGAAGTTTGAAATCGATGCAGTAATTTAAGCGTTTGTCCGCGTTACGCCACACCTTCGAAGTGTGTCAATGGGCAGGTAAATAGTCGAATGCCACCATGTTCTTAACGCGAGGCTAACCTACTCACGAAAAAGAAATACAAAGGCAACAGTTTCGGTTCGTCTCGACTACTCGCTGTTGCATTTACCGAGGCCATGAGCCGGATATTTCAAGACCTATTTCAACGCGAGTTTAATCTTTCTAAAGCGAGTAAGATTATTTTTCCTCGGTTTCTCGATCAATCTTCGAATGAATTTTTTTTTTTTTTTTTAGGTTTTATATATATATATAAATTAATCGTTAGAGTCGAATGAAAATAATGGAATAAACTTTTAAATATTTAATGTTCTCGTAACACAAATAACAGTACCGTTTGTTTTTAATGGAATTAAGAGAGGGAAAGAGTAATTACAACTTAGGATCATAAAGTATGGCTAAGATATCAATTTGCAAATAAGACGAATTGAAATGGTAGTTTCAAATTAAATTACAATTTAAGATTTTGATTTATGAAGCTTTCTTGTACGTTTCATCGTGAAAATTTTTCCTACGATCGTATAGACGCATAAACACGTAGTTTCTACGAAAACACGAGATGGAGAAGTCCCGTAACACGAAGTCGCAATGTTTCTTCTTCTATTCACAGGTTAGGTAATTAGCACTGAATCTGGACGCGCTGCTACCGATCTTACAGTAAACGACATGCAACTCGTTCGAATTAAATTACTTCGTATACACTCGATACACTCGAATCGTATCAACTGCAAATTAATCGATTTAGTATCTTCCTTGTAATTGAATTAATCTCGTTCGAATACACAATGTATAGAGAATTTCATCTCCTCGAATCTTCTTCTCAATTTATTCATCGATGGCGTCAACCGTTCGACCGGTTGCTATGCTAAACTTGACCGATCAATTTACCTTTCATTCGCGTATTCCAAACCCATTGATTCGGAAAATATTTTATCGGTTCAGGAATGGAGCGATAAAGCGGCGCATATCAAGCTGTAATTCACGTGGAATGCGCAACTCGGGACGAATTGAACGATACGAGGCAAAGACAAATGGAGATGACCCGTTTAGCCCGGTGCTTCGTCGATGAACCGTTGCTTCGTCGCGGCAAACGCTTCGAAGCAAAAACTTGGAAACGCGATGGGCGACCGGTTTGAATTCTCGCTATCGAGAAAGGAACATCTACTTTCTTCCTGCCTCTATCTCTCCGTCCCTTTCCCTCTTTCTCCATCTCATCCCCTCCCCCGTGTTTCTCTCCATCTCCCTATCTCTCTTTCCCTCGCGCATGCCCCGTCGCTTTTCTTTTTCGCGGACAAATTCTCCCGCTTACCTTTTACGACTCTGCCAACCGACTCGACGCGACGCGACAATCGCACGCGAAACGTTGTTATTGGCCGCGCATATGCCGTAACAATTGTTACGATTATCGCGCGGAAATATCGTTCATGAACCTCGATTCTTTTATGTAAGCGTGCGTATATCGGTTGGAAAGGAATTTTCAATCGGGTCGGGAACGGGTTTCACGGGCGGTGAATTATAGCTGGTTTACCATTGTCTGTCTCCTTTATAGAGGTCAGAACGATTAGAAGATCGCCTACCTAAGTAACTGTACCGCTCAATAAGGTATCGCGCGCAGTTTATCTCGCGTTTCGTGAACACGAAATTGTTCCTACGCTCAGCGGAATAACAAGCGATATCTTATTCGGTTTGAATTTTGCGAAAGTTTGTTCGTAAAAATATTAACGCGATTTAATTTAATTTCCTATTGCTCCACAGTTAAGATTTCGGACACGGCGAACAACTTTTTCAATTTGTTTAATCAGATCTTATTCGAGTCGACGCGTTATTCTGAGACAAAAAAAAAGAGTTGTACGTGAAAATGTGCAGGGAAGCTTGTTGGCACGGTGACCATGAACCCGGTATTATCGTAGAATTATAATTTCGTTCTACTGACCAAATGCATGGCGTGTTCCGCGATTTGCGCGTAAAACACGTGTATACAATGAGAAGAATGAGCCCCGATGGTAGAGGCTGTTAACCCTGTCCACGGAAGAGAGCAGTGCTCGAGCGGAGGCCATTGTCTTCACTTTCTGATTGCCAGACATTCCTATAAGATCTTCGCATATCATTGATGAATACACATCAAACGCCTGACTAACACAACTTCCTTTTTAGCGTGATTTTACGATCGTCGGAACACGATGATTTTTCATTCCATTTTTCTTTCCTCATCACGAATCATTGATTTTCTTCTCTAATTTTAAATCGTCCACCTTTTTTTTTCTTTTTTTTAATATTTCTGATATAATTGTATATAACGTAATTTGGAAGCATAAAATTGTTTTCTGCAATTTCAAATTCAACTCGGTTAAATTTTGAGTCAACTGGACGATGCGTGTGCGTGCAAATTCATATTTTTACTTGGGATTGAATCGAAAAGAGAACTTTGGTTTTTTTTCCCCTATCGCGACGAATACTTTGGATTTTGTATATTTTTACAAAAATACATCGTCTATTTTTTCTATATTACAAAGTTTTACATCAGCAAATAGCGCGCGTCATGCAAAAAACAGTTCTACATAAGGTGGCCTCCTTGTTGACCCAAAGTAAACGGAGCATGACTGAGTTCGATGGCTGTAACTATCACGAGTCATCGACATGTTTATTTGCATATATATATATATATATATATACACACACACAAATTATATTTATTCAAAAAAGAAAACATCTTATTGCGCGACATGATAATTACACTTCATCGATATTTGACATGACAAGTCCATCCAGTTTTGAAAAGAAAGTTAAGAACAGTAATAATAAGAATAATAATCGTTTAAAAGAAGGGACACGTATTTACAGATGACGTAATTTCTCTTATAGCGATTATCAATGACAAATAATAGAAAATATAATAGTTGATTAAACGGTTGATAACGTTTACATATTTTCCATTCGGCTATTCGGAAATATTTATGAATACCAAAGTAAAGTATCATTTTACCTTTACGTTGTACCTTGCGTTCGCAATGTACAAATGCATCAATGAACGTATATGTGTATCAGGCAAACTTGTTCCCTCCCTGATCGCTTCACCTTCCTCGGCCACGCTTGAAAGTTAACTCGAATCCGATTTTCACTCGCTGTTTCTGTTCTTCTAATTATTTACAGCGCGTTACGGAACACGATTAGAAGAAGAAATAGAACGCGTCGCCTTACGTAAAATATCAGCCGTACAAAAATTTACAAATTCTCGTGATCTTCGCCATGTATGTCGTTTTTATTTATCATCGTTTCGTATTTATCATCGTACGAGATATGGCAAAGATATTTTATATGGAAATATTTGAGAAAAATATTTTTTTGATTTAAAACTGATTTAAAAGTAAATACATATTTTCAAATAACACTTCATCGCGACAGTAGTGGTATTTCTTCTTTCGCGATGCACACGAAGTGAATTCGAAACGAGACTCTTACGGAATGTAACAGCAACAAATGTCCCTACGAGTTTTACTAATAATCTTTCGTTCTTCGCCAATTCTTTCCAAAAAAAAGAAAATTAATATTAAGAAAATTAAACAAGGAAAGGAAATAGGAAGAACGATATAACGAATGTTCCTATATTACGTTAAATCCGATATAATTAAATTTCAAACCTGACCATAAAACCTATCATAAAATCATTTTTCATTAATCATTGAAAAAATTAGAGAAAAATGATTTTACGTGAGAGAGATTACGTGAATCGAGATATCACTTGCATTGAATGTAAAAACAGGAGAGTATAATTCGCAGCGGAATACGATTGATCGTAAAAAAAAAACGCGATATCGTTTGGCAGAAGATTTATAAACGAAACTTGCACGTCATCGTCTAATGACGTTTCGTAATTCGCCACAGAACCGATTCTCGCGGGGGTATCTTTTTCCTCGAAGCCATTTTATAAACGCATAGTAAACGCGGAATCGAAATTTCGATAATTTATTTCGGCAGTCAATTTGGATACGTTGGGACGATATGTTCGAAACGAGCAAGAGATGGAAATCGATCGACCCGAGTTTTGATCCGATCTTATCTTGGAAATGCAAAGGAAATCCGGTTTCGAGAGTTCGTTAATCGCATATCTCGAAAGGTTGCGAAGATATAAACAGAAATTAAACGGTAATTTAATTCAACAATGCTTCTGTTCGAGTTCGAGAAACGTTTAAAATATCATTCTTGGAATTTCGTGTCTAATGCACAATGGGATTTCTTGGTCTCTTGATTCGACAAAGACGAAAAAAAGAAAAGAAAAAAAAAAAGTTCAGTTTCCAACGCTAATTTCAATTTCAATCCTTCAAAGGAATTGAAATTCTATGAATTGTTGAATACGAAATATGCATAAGCTTTTTAATATTTTATAACTGTTAAAGCGGTGAATGGGTAAAGTTAACAAGTAACCGCTATATATTCTACGGCAAAGACTTTGTTCTTAATAAAAAAAAAAAAGATGCCTCGTTCTGTCGAATACCATGCGTTAAAAGTAATTCTACGTGAATGGAAATTATCCATTTTTCATCTCGTGAGAAATTAATTGATTATCGACAAATCATTACAATTCCAATTCCTCTTACCTATAAAATATTACTCTTAATAAATCCTTCTTAAAAAATCATCTTGAAAAGAGCGATCGTGCTCTATTCCCTTTTTTCAACGCAATGAGCGATACAGGAAGTCGGCAAATATTTCAAATATAACAAAAGAGAGGAGAGAATTTTAAACACAGTTTCATCACCGAGTTGTGTACTGTCTACGTTCAACAGAAGGAAATACGTACGCAAATGAAATATTGACTATATACGTTATCGAAATGCAGTTGACCAATCGATGGTATGCAAATGTGTTTTGACGAGAGGAATCGAAGAAAGGCCGCGAGCGGCTGTGAAAGGAATAGAGAGGAAGGAAGAAAGGAGAGATCGAACTTGCGTAAAGAATGTTTGCGCGTATACATATACATACATATGTATATGTATATCCGCGATGCACGCCCCGAAGTGAGGCTACTTTCTTGAATCGAAGAAAGCCGTCTACCTACATTGTAGGTGGGAGTAGGTTAGGTTATACGCGCGAAGAAATTTTACCTTCCTATAATAATGCGGGCCAATAAACACGGGTTGCGTAATTTTTAATCGAACCTCTTGCCCTCGTACGCGTAATCTTCGTATATAATTTATACTCGTATATGAAACAAGATGGAGAATTCCACTCGTATGCATCCACTCGTGCTCTTTCTTTCGAAATATCGGATATAATAAGGCTTCGTTTAAATTATTGCGTGCTATTGGTTTACATTATGAACACGAATACGCGTCTGTTTAACACGTATTCTATCTAAGAAGTTTATATGTAACGTGATATATTTAAATCACTGTATGTAACACTCGCGTGAGATGTGTAAGTTCGAAAAGAACGCATTTTTTTCATTATCGTTGCTCCACCACTGGATCGCATTCGTCCAGAGAAGTGTCCGTGGCAATGTCCCTGCTCTATTATTCGAGAAAAATGTATCTTACCTTACGGTATTGCATATTACATTAGAGGCTCGAGCCAGCAATAACGTAAGAGTGTAACGTGGTATTACGTCGGATGTGTAATTTGAGAGTACGAGTACTTTTGTTTTACGAATGAAACACTTAATAAATTCAGATCGTTCCTTATCATTATTCTTATTCTTATATATTCGAAATATTGTTTTCCATCGATTTAAATTTTCTTTGAGAAAGTGATAAAAATAAAAATAATAAATGAGAAAATAACGGGAAGAGATCGAAAGCAATGTTCCAAGGCAGAGCAGATACGATCAAAAGGAGGGGGAGAAAGAGCGTTAAAATTAACTGGATTATTAACATTCGGGGCGATTCGTGCATAAAATCATAGCGCTAGGTTACGCACGATTGTACGCTGAATGTACAATGTAGATGGAATAGTTTCGGGGAAAGGTGGGCGTGCAAAGTGTCTTGTACTCTTTCGAGTTCGATTTATACCATTCACCCCAGAATTGTGTAGTTGTAAACCCCACACGCGACTCACGCCCAAAGAGAATCTACTTTCATGAGAGCGAGGAAAGTCCGTCCGGCATGCCCATCTAAGTATATACTCGCGAACAGTGAAAATAGGTTAGGAATGTTGTAAGCGCATGCTCGCGTACGGTGTACGGAAAATTCTACAAAATTGCGTCCCATTTTTCTCGAAATGCGTGTGATGAACAACTGTTTATAATTCTACCGCTATTTGCTTCTCCCAGAGATAATAGCACGGTTTTGCTTTGATATCGCGTACGAAGGAGAGAAAGAACGTGACGAAAGAGCAGAAGGAAGAAGGCGATCAGGTTCACGTAACAGCTTGTCCTCTACTGGACGCAAGAACGGTTCGAGTTTCACGAAGGAACTCGTTCGTTTCTTTCCCGGCCAAGCCTTTCGGTATCGAGGTAAAAGCGAGAGAAAAACGAAATTATGTGCGTTTGCACTTGGATCGATTGATAGGTAAAAAAAAAAAAAAGGTGGTAATCGAAAACGGTTTCTCCTATACATTCTTGCGTTTCTTCTTTTATACGAAATCGGCTCGTTTTCATTCCATATATTTCGTTTTGATCCTTCGTAAGCAGAGAGATTTTAATAAATTTTAGTAGTTTTATTCGTAAATTTTTTTAAAATTGACAGGCAATCGGGCACGATAAATTGTGGATAATAGAAAAATACAAAGAAGAAAAGCAAAGCGTGCTAGAAACACATTTTTACGCGGGAATGTAAATTTAATCGTCGAGTACATGTTTAAAAGAACGATAATTACGGAGCCTGTGAAAGTACGAAATATCTTGATTCGAGCATTTTACAATTTACGTTCACGCGATACGTGAAAAGTTTTTATACAGCCGAGAGAATCAGCGTTACTTGCACAATGGATTATTAATAATGCTAATAAACATTGTATATTAATTGCTGTGTGTTCTTTATAAACAATTTGACTTATAATGAAAAGGAGGCAAAGTCCATTTTTTTTTTCATTTGTATTTTAAATTTCTATAAATCCTTAAATGGATGTTAATTTAGATATCTCAACGTGTGTTTTGAATTTATAATGAGCGTACACACTTCCTCGAAAATTAATCGTGATAATATACAAAAGAACGAGCAAAATCACAGTATATTAATTATATACGAATAAATACACGCGAAATATTATGTTAATACATGTTGAAAATTACACATACAATTCTCGTTTAAAATAGATTTAAAATATCGAAAGAATCGTACATTTCGAAGGAATGTATCGTGTGAACGGAATTTTCATTACATAGAATACATTAGAAGGATAAAACGTTAAAGAAAATGTTTAATCCATACCTTTTGCATATACTTAAATCACAATAAAAATGAATAATTAATGATCGGTAATTATATCTTATGACATGCAAAAATTAACATTCTTAATTAATTGTTAACATGTTAATTAATTCCGCTAGGAAAAGCAATTGTTTGAACGAATATAACGACAATTCGTTATATCCAATAATAATATACATTTATTATTAACAATAATCCGATATATTACATTTCAAGTTGTTATCATTGTTCACGACAAATATCAACATTCTCACGTTGAGTTGAAAAACACCGATCCATGAGATTAATATTTAATTTTTGCACACAACGCAATGTTAATCCGCCGAGGTTTCCACCGGGGAATTCTTTCACGCAGAGAGGAGTTAATTGAGCATTTTTTCGCGCTACCATTAAAAAAGAATGAGAGCGATAAAAACATCATTAACGAGATGCAAACGCTTATTCACAGAAACGAAGAAACTGACATTTACGCTATGCTCTTTTTACGCTCCTCTTTTGCTTTTCTCTCCTCTCCTCTCCTTTCTTTTCTTCTTCTTTTTCCTCCTCTTCTTCTTCCTCTCCTTTTTTTTTTTTGAATGAAAACAGAATCGTACCAGGTTTATCTTTCTTGATTGTTTTAACATCTTCAACTGTTTCGGCCAGGTGAGCCGTAAAACAACCGCCGATTTCTCCGCTTCTTACGAAATCGATAGCTTCCCCGCAAGTTTTTTTTTTTCTTTCTTTCTTTCTTTCTCTTCCCCGACAAATGCAAATGCGAGACGGGAAAATTGGCTATTAAGACTGAAATTATTTTGCGTCTTGTTGCGGTTCGAACCATTCTCTCCACCTCGTGGTCTCGCGGTATTCTTGCGAAGAAACGTTCCTCCACGCATGAAATTTCGCTTCGGTCACAATATTTCGATCGAGGGTTAATTAATTGATTGATCGTTAATGCCGCGTCTTTGTATTCGCGCGTCATTTATTATCGAGTTAACATCAGGAAAATTGAATAACATCAGGATACGGAAATGGTATTTTTCACCGACGGTGAAAGTAAATAAATGGAAATACAAGACAAAGAGATTTTTCGAGAGGACGAGATTTTTATTCGAGATGGTTATTTGCATAAAGTTTGCAAAGAAAGCATCGGTTTTATCCTGTGCGCAACAGGAAGAACGGACACTTTTCATTTGCATTCACACTTTCCTACGTAGAGAAACGTGATAATAATGTAGGTGTACATGTGAGGGGGAAACGGAAATAACGGAAATTGGTTTGATCGTTTCGCAAAAACTTTATAAATCGCAACGAAAGCGTGCGATTCCCATGAAAAAGAATAGAATAGAAGTTTTCTCTTTGTTCCCGTCTCCTCCTTCGGTCCTTTTCACTCTTTTTTACTCCTCTCCTTTTCTTTTTTTTTACGTTTTATCCTCCCGTTTTCTCTGTGTCCGCGTGTCGATAACCGTTTCTCTGGAGAACCGTTATCGGGTCAGTTAACCACCTTAACGAGATCATGTTCTCTTTGGTTTAATGGATACTTGGTGAAAATAAAATCTCAACGTCCGGCCCCCTGGGTCTTTTGTTTTCTCGGATACAGCCTTGCCTCGCCACTCGATTTTTCCTTGTTGCGTTTCCACTGCGCACACCATCCAGTTCGAAACATATTGAAAAATATTCTCTATCCCTAAAGAAAATAGAGAATTCGTGTACACATTTTCCATACCCGATCTTATATCTTATATAAAAGTGGGATTAAAAAGTGATTAATTTTACGCGCGCGACTGTACGTATTCATATTTTCGTGAAGGTAAAACTTCATTCTTGAATTGCATTATTATTCTTCTGTAATAAAAAAAGAAAAGGAATTCCATGTATATGGAATGAAGGTTAATATAAATACAAGATAAATCCACGTGGACAGATATCGACAATGAGATCAACGGAATGAAATGCGTGTCACGATGATTGTTAAATAAAAATCAGCCGGCGGCATGCCGGTGCATCATAATGAATCTTAACCGTGCGAGGTAACAGTATCGAGAGTATATATATATATATATAGTTTATACCAGAGGTGTGTCAACCTACATTGTAAAAGTTTCAAATTCTTTCCTTCCAATCTTTCCGGATCTATTATGTTACCGACGTTCTAAGCCTATTATTTTCCTCTCTCTCTCTCGTAAACTTAATTCCGATTAATTTTATCAAATTTCCAGGAATAAGAAAAATTATTCGATATTCTATATTCACACGCTTGCCTCGTTTACACGAACGGTTTCGACCAACGGTGTATTAACTCTTTGCGCTCTTTGTATTTATATTTAAGAAGGTTGCCAATCGAGGTAGAGTCTAGAATACAATTATATTGTATTTAATTATATTACACGTATATGTAGGGTTGATAAAACGAGGAGCTCGAGAATCGTGACGTAAAAAAATAAAAACACAGAAATTACGATTTCTCGGCCCTCCAATAGATAACTTATGCGCATTTATCGCGAGGATTGATGTCGAGCGCGAACAAGTTGATTCATCGCGGATAGTGGCAAATTTTCGTTCGTAAGAGCAGCAAAGAGTGTTGGTGAATTAGCATTTCCTAGACGCTTTCTAGGTCCGCCCGAATGTCTCGTCTGGCGCGACGAAAATTGTGCAATTGCGATCTCCTGGCGAGAGTGAAATTACACGGTACCATTGTCGGGGTGTCGTAACACGATCGAAACACGATTGCCCAACGAATCGCCATTTCGGTGCGATTCTATACCCGTGGCAACGTGCGTGGAGACTCTCGTTTTCATTCGTCGGGGGTTGGCTCGATCTCGAGACGGTTCCAACCATTCCTCCTTTCAGAGAGATGTAAAAAATGATAATCGTGGCGTTATGAAGTATTCGATTCGACGCTTCGCTTTTAGGAAATTTTTTTCAATTTCCTCCAAGTTTAAATGGTCATTATTGGACGAAAGAGGAAAAAGAAGAAAATGGAAAGTAGCGGAAATCAAGATTCGGAATTTTTCAATTGCAACGTCTACATAGAATGGGGTTGGTTAAATTTCGATATTAGAAACTGCTCTCGTAATAATAGCAATTGAAAAGTAATCACGCTTTTAAATTAAAACTTCCCCACTCTGAATCACGAGGATTATAACCGTCCTACCGTCTTCCGTATCTGTATCTGCATTTCGGTATTTCATTGCCTAAGAAAAGAGAGGCGACGACGAACTTTCGTTCTCCGCTCCTCTTCCATTCATAACACGAGATCTCTCTTCACCGTTTTCCTTCCACGTTTTTACGTTTCATTGAAAAATGAAAACCTTTCATTACACCGACATTAATTGAATTTGCACGCCACTCTTACGACGCACACTTCTCGCACGGTTGTGAAAAGTACACATTCCGCGATGATTAGAAGGCGAGGAAAAAGATATTCGCGGAGAAAATTTTACCGACTATAATTCGATTCGTTTCGTTACAAATCGAATTCACGGAACGTGTGTCGGGGTTTCAGAGGTGACGGTACGAGGATGACCGATTACAGAGATCGCAGAAGGTCGTGGACAGGTGGTTCGAAGAAGCCGAGGACTGCGGCCATCGTAGGGAACGACCATGACGAGCGTGGCTGTCGCCCCGGGTAGCCTCGGTGCACCTCCATCCATGCTCACCCCGAAAATGTATCATCTACAGCAGGGGTTAAACTCAACATCCCCCTCGCCCACTTCCGGAAAGGTAAGTCATAATATTATTGCGATGTGAGACAATCGAAGAAGAAGATTATTACGTTTCACTACTTTCATATTGATTGCAAGGTAAAAATAAAAATATTATCCATTAAGAGATTTTTTTCCTATTAAAAGATTCCGAGGTGAACAACTTTTTCTTCTTGTTAACCTTTTTTCGTTTGGAATAATTTAAAAAGGAAACTAATAAACGTTTAACCGAAAGAAACGCGCTCGAACAATTTTCTATTCTCTTTTCATTTCATCGTTGCAAAGTCTTCGCTTCTCATAATTGGGCCAACTTACGTAAAATTTTATATGGTATTATTTGATTACCCGTTGTTGTTACAAGAAATCACAATGGTAGGTGGATATTTAGAAGAATAGTTTTTCGCGGAGAAAATTTTACCGACTATAATTCGATTCGTTTCGTTACAAATCGAATTCACGGAACGTGTGTCGGGGTTTCAGAGGTGACGGTACGAGGATGACCGATTACAGAGATCGCAGAAGGTCGTGGACAGGTGGTTCGAAGAAGCCGAGGACTGCGGCCATCGTAGGGAACGACCATGACGAGCGTGGCTGTCGCCCCGGGTAGCCTCGGTGCACCTCCATCCATGCTCACCCCGAAAATGTATCATCTACAGCAGGGGTTAAACTCAACATCCCCCTCGCCCACTTCCGGAAAGGTAAGTCATAATATTATTGCGATGTGAGACAATCGAAGAAGAAGATTATTACGTTTCACTACTTTCATATTGATTGCAAGGTAAAAATAAAAATATTATCCATTAAGAGATTTTTTTCCTATTAAAAGATTCCGAGGTGAACAACTTTTTCTTCTTGTTAACCTTTTTTCGTTTGGAATAATTTAAAAAGGAAACTAATAAACGTTTAACCGAAAGAAACGCGCTCGAACAATTTTCTATTCTCTTTTCATTTCATCGTTGCAAAGTCTTCGCTTCTCATAATTGGGCCAACTTACGTAAAATTTTATATGGTATTATTTGATTACCCGTTGTTGTTACAAGAAATCACAATGGTAGGTGGATATTTAGAAGAATAGTTTTTCTTTTTTTTTTTTTACGTTAAGAATTTAAGTTATTTTAAAACAATTACGTAAATCGTACGTTTGAGAATCGTGTTTGGAAATTAAAGCGAATACGTATCTCGAATTTATATTGCTGAGAACGGGATTAACAATAAGAGATCGTGTTTATTCTGATAAAAACCGTGCGGAGAAAGTTCGCACAAGCCGGCTGATAATTACAATTCGTGACCGGCTACTTATGTAACGTAACGATATATAGGATATATGCAACAGCGGCAGTATAAGTAGTGTGCAAGCCTCCATAACTCGTCTCACGTGTCATTCAGTTTTCTTTCCTATCGCCTTATAGATTCCTCTCGTCGAAGCAAACTTATTACGACTTTGAACCTATAACCATATTTATTCGATTATATTTTGGATTAATTATCTATTCCAAATATTCTTTTAATCCTATCCAAAATTTGACCCTTTTTTTCTTTTTTCACGAGAAGTTGAAAATCATGATGGCACGCAAAAATTTTTTTAATATTTAACCAATGATCCATCTTTCTTCGTGTCTTTTTATATTCTCTCATATTATTGGTTTTAATTGGATAATCATTAACGATACTCTTTATATCTTTCTATATTTTCCATAAACTTTCCATATTTCGATATTTCCATAACTATTGAAAAAAATATTGAAAAAAAAAAAAATTCGAAGAAACCTCGGGACGATTTTTCCACAATTTCCAGAATATTATAAGATTACGAGACGCGTGGCGAGGAGATCGTCTCGACGAGACGAATCCATATCGAAAGGCTTGGAAACGCGAAACGCGCGAGCAAGGACAAACCAGCTCTTCCGATGATGTAAGAGAGCACTCGCGTACTACGCGATTTAATTCGTCCAGTTTCTGTGGACAAAGGCTGGCTCCGGTTTTACCTTAAAACCTGACCTCGCCGTCGACACCGAATACGTTTTCGTTCGCTCGTTGTTGTTGAACTTGAGTTGGACGGTGTCTCGCGCTCGGTGTCTCAGTCCTCGGTGTTCCTCAACGACGATAAAAGCGAGTCGAATAGTAGAAGTGTCGCGAAAATGACGAGGAGTGTCTCTCGTTCGAGGGAAGGAGAAGGTTGTGACGAGATCCCCTTTTTTTTTTAACAGTGAACGTTTCGTGAGTAAGAAAAGTATCGAGTATATTTTAAGGTCACGTTAAGAATCTCCTCCTTATAAATATTCGATTCAAAAATTTGGAAAGATGAAGTAAAATTCGAAATTCGGGCGCGATCATGTACAGATAAATAACCGTTTAATTATCTGAATATCGTAATATCCATAAAAACAAATGGTAATTTATGATCTTCCTTTACAAGACGTTTATTTATATGAAGTCAATAACAGTAAAATTTAATAGAATAATAAAGTGATAAAATTCAACAGTCTTGAAAATCGTAATTGGCTTTAAGCGTGTATTTAAGCGTATGAAAATATATTTGTGAATTTAGAAAGCATGGTAACTCGATGCAAGGAAGCGAGGAAAATTATATTTCCAATCGTTTTCGATTAAATTATAACACGAAACACGTGCAACGTTCGATTATGTTATATACGTATATATATATGATAAGTGCGATAAAATATTAAAGTGGAGAATTATCGTAATTGAATATTATTAATTCTAGATATTTCCCAACTTTACGAAATACGATTTATAAATTTATAAATTTGAATTCGAATTCGATTTATTATTAGTAGAAACTCGTTGTATTTAGGATGTAGGAAAATAAAATTGGGGAAAGTATATCTGTGGAATTAGATAGATGTAGAACGTTTGCAAAAAATTATCAAAATTATGATACGCAGCAAAATTCAGCGTTACTCGAAGCGGAAATGTAAAGTTATTTCCCCCGGTCAACAAAAATCACTTGCTCGGATAAAATAAAATGCCGTACTTTCACTTCGCATATTTAGACACGTAATTTGAATATTTTATCTTTTAATAAAATTCTTTCTTCCAAACGGATCGTGATAGGAAAGAATTCCGCGCGATCGAATAACAATTCGAAATAATAAACGAAGGATCTCTCTGAATTTAAATCTCATTGCGATAAAAAAGGAAAGAAAAAAAAAAGTAGGAAGGAAATTAATTTTTCCTCCGCAAACCGTGCGGACTTGGCGATTCCACGCTTCTTTCTTCTCCTCGAGGCACAGCGAATCCGCTATAGGATTCTTCGTTACACACCGTGCTTATAATCACCTTTCTGCACTCCGTCAAACACTGGCAGCTACGGTGGCTATTGACTATGTAACCGGTTTTGCGTTTGGCCCACATTGCTATGCCCCACGATAGAACTTTCGAGATATCGCGTCCCAGAAGTACGTGCTCTTTTCCTATCAAACACGGATTTCCTCCCATAATCTCCTATATGATCTCGTGATAAACACTTGTAAACAAATTTCTTCTTCTTCTTAACCAACTTAATCTCTTCGTATTATTATAATCGCGAGTTGTTTATCCGAATTAAAGAATAATAGATATTATTCGACGATCGAAATGAAACGAAAAAAAAAAAAAAAAAAAGAAAAAAAAGAACAGCAAAATGCAACGCCGTGCGTGTTAATTTTATCGAAAGGATCGCGTGATCCGAGAGGATCGTAATCCTCTCCTTCGGTTTCGCGTCAATCGGTGAAAACATCGGTTATGAAAAGACCGAGGGAGCACATCCGGCAAAAAGGAGACGCGAGGAGAGGAGGGCGGCGAACACTCGCAAATTGCGGTATCGTCTGAACGCAGGATTGTGCAACCGTGGTTGCCATAGAGGCAATGCGCGCGATGCATCTGTGTGGTGCATCCACCGTGACCCCGGTTCACGCGCCGTGTCGTTTCGCAGATAACGCCCCATATTCACCTGTCTTCGATTGCATACACGCAGCAGCTGCGTTTATCTTTGTCGAGTTTTTTCAACTCGATCGCAACTGATCCAATGCATCTTACGTCGCATCAAAAATATATATTGCACGTATATTTTTTCCCCCTAATAATTTTAAAATTATCCTAATCGTAATTATCCTATCGTAACGTTTTGTTGCGGCAATCGTTTTGCTTTTTATTAAAATAAAAACTGAAATATCGGTTGTAGGGTATGTATTTAACGCTCTAGATGACGCGATTCTTCCACCGTTTCCCCGATTTCTGACGTTCGCTGCGCGAGCCTGAAAGTGAAGCGCCGTGTTCCGTCCTCGTTAATTAGAATTTATGGCCATTAGTATCTGAGAATTGAGGTTATATGGCTATAAGGCTACCGTTGGCGGATTTAATTTAGTTGTCCCATTCTTTGTACTCGCAATTTTTACCTTTCCTATTTAAAAATCGAAAATATTTTGCTCGATTCACCGGTTGGACCGGTAATTACGATCAAAGAAAATCGAAACTAGCAAATTCTAAATATAATAAAATCGAATCGTATCTGTTATACTATTTTTTATATCGCACAGATATTTGCTACACCCGCTTTGCGTATATTTCGCTATGCTCGACATTCGTAACCGGAACGACGCTTTTCACCGATCGACACGTGCTAAGTAGTGCATACATTTCTCGACGTAAGAATCCACTTTTCCGATCTTGCGAACCGACTCTGTAATTTCTAATTTGAAAAGCGTCGTGCAGGAATTCGAACGCGTACACTTTTCTATCGTTGATCCAGCCAATTAGCTTGTTGCGCATCCAGCGTGGAGAAATATAGATGGATCCATCTTCCTCTTCTAACTCCCTCTCCCCGATTATTACGATATTAATCGCATCTTGATACTCGAAGGAGTATCTCGAGATATCCATCACTGTCCCGTCGAATTTTTATCGCATCGATAAGAAAATCGATTTCCAATATTCTCGGAGGCTTGGGAGGGGAAAAAGGATTTTCGAGTCGCGTTGAAAATGCTCGTTTGGAAATTAATTTTATTTTACGATCGAATG